TTACTGTGTCCTCCAAGTTGCTGATCTGTTCTGCTTCCCCTAGTCTACTATTTACTTCCCTCTAGTATAATTTTAACCTCACTTATTGAGTTGTTCATCTCTGATTCGTTCTTTTTTTTTTTTTTTTTATGTTTTGTATCTCTTTGTTGAGGGTCTCACTAAGATCCTTCACTTTGTTCTCAAGTCTAGTGAGTATCTTTATGACTATTACTTTACTTACTTATTTTTTAAATATTATTCCTTTTTTCTTTATTTATTTTGAGAAAGAGCATGCGAGTGGGGAAGGGCAGAGAGAGAGGGAGAGAGAATTCCAAGCAGGCTGTCATTGTCAGTGGAGAGCCTGATGCAGGGCGGGAACCCATGAACTGTGAAATCATGACCTGAGCCAAAGTCAGACACTTAACCGACTGAACCACCCAGGTGCTCCTATGACTATTACTTTAAATTCTTTATCAGGGATATTATTTATCTCTGTTTTGCATAGGTCTCTTGTGATTTTGTCCTGTTCTTTCATTTGGGACACACTCCTCTGTCTCCTTATTTTGTCTAACTCTGTTTCTTTGTGTTAGGTAAGTCAGCTATGTCTCCCGCTCTGGAAAACTGTGGCTTTGTGAAAAAGAGGTCCTATAGTACCCTGCAGTGCACTGTCCCCTGTTCACCAGAACCCAGTGCTTTAGGGATGTTTTCTATGTGTGTGCATGAGCCACACTGCTTTTAGTCCAGTTGTCTGCAATGGCACTCTCTGCCTGTTGTGGGCAGGTTTTGGTCTCTGTGTTGTTAGTGGCCTAGTCTAGGGCCACCTTGGGCTTGAGTTGAGTCAGACCAGACATTTGCCAGAGATGGAGTAGCACTGAACTGCAGGGTGCTTTCCCTCTGTTGTGCCCTGAGAAGCTTTTGTTGGTGGGTAGGGCCTGTAGTCAGACCGATGTCTGCCCCCAGCCCACTGCTGGGCCATAGTTGGACTGGTACGTGTATATATCTTCATCTCTCCCTGGGGCAGGAGTCACTTTGTAGTGGTAGAAGCCCCCATCAGGGCTACTTGCACACTTCCAGGCTTGTGGCACTGCTTTGGATGGACTCTGGCCAAGGGTCTATTGGAAGGGCAGGTCCGCAAGAAAAAGCAGGCTGAGATTCATGGTGCCTGCAAGATCTACACTGGTTTGCTGTGGGAGAGAGCTTGAAGACCATGAGAAAACTGCCCAGACTGGAATGGAAGGGTGGGTCCATATAATAGCTTGGTGAGCAGGGGGAGGGTTCAGAGGGCACTGTTAATAAGGTCCATGCAGATGTGCTGTGAGAGGGGACCTGAGGCTGCTTGGGATGGAGGGGGTATGTCTGCAGAAGAATGTCTGGCGGAGCTCTCACTGTTAGCAGGAGAGTGTTCTGCTGCCCTGGTTCCCATAGGTGTCTGTTAATCCAGGCTGGGGAAGGGGGCAGGGGAAGGAAATGGCTCTTAGAGAAGTCCCCCTCAAATCCCTGCCCCTCCAGCTCATGTACTGAGATTAGTAAAAAAAAAAATCTCCTTCCTGTATACCCAGGCATTTTTTAAAAATTTTAAAACACTTTTATTTATTTTTGAGAGAAAGAGCATGAGCAGGGAATGGGCAGAGAGAGGGGGAGACACAGAATCCAAAGTAGGCTCTAGGCTCTGAGCTGTCAGCACAGAGCCTGACACGGGGCTTGAACCCACAAACTGTCAGATCCTGAGCTGAAGTAACTGAGCCGAAGTAACTGACTGAGCCACCCAGGCGCCACCCACCCCAGGTGGCATTCTTTTTTTTTTTTTCAGGTGGCATTTTTCAAACTGCCTCTTCTATGCTGTGTGTCAGCTGGGCTCTTCAGTGCACTGTCTCTTTAAGGGCGGAGATTCAGTTTCCTTCTGCCCTCAGACTCTCCCAGAGCTGAGCTTGCTGATTTTTTTTTAAAAATTTTTTTCAACGTTTTTTATTTATTTTTGGGACAGAGAGAGACAGAGCATGAACGGGGGAGGGGCAGAGTGAGAGGGAGACACAGAATCGGAAACAGGCTCCAGGCTCCGAGCCATCAGCCCCAGAGCCTGATGCGGGGCTCGAACTCACGGAACGCGAGATCGTGACCTGGCTGAAGTCGGACCCTTAACCGACTGTGCCACCCAGGCGCCCCGTGCTTGCTGATTTTTAAAGTTCCAGGTGGTAAGCCCACTGATTATAAGAACATGAGAATCCATGCCCCTTTGGTTTTCAAAGACAGATGTTTATAGGCATTCATCTCACCCATACAGGCCCCGTATGCATGGGGTGCCTGGTGTGGAGGTCTGCTCCTCTCCCCTCTCCACTCCACTGCTTCCCTCCCTCCCACAGGCAGTCTCACAGTCTTTTTGGCTCCCTACCACATCTCAGCCCTTCCTACCCTCTTCCATGTGTCCCCTTCTCTACATTTAACGGTGGAGAGTCTGTTCTGCCAGTCCTTGGGTCATTTTCTGAGTTATTTACACTGATTTTGATATTATCTAGGTGTGCCCGTGGGACAAGGTGAGCCTAGGATTCTCATATTCTGCCATCTTCCTCAGAAGTCCCTGGTTGCTTGTGCTTTAGATATCTAAGAAACTATTGCCTAATGCAAGGTCACAAAGATTTATACATGTGTTTTTTCCTAACAGTTTTATAGTTTTATCTGTTATGTTCAGGTCTTTGATCTATTTTGAGTCAATTTTGTATATGAGGTAGAGGTCCAACTTCATTCTTTTCATGTGGATATTCAATTGTCCCAGCATCATGTATTTAATTTTTTTTTTAACATTTATTTATTTTTGAAAAAATTTTTTTAAACGTTTATTTATTTTTGAGACAGAGAGAGACAGAGCATGAATGAGGGAGGGTCAGAGAGGGAGACACAGGATCTGAAACAGGCTCCAGGCTCTGAGCTGTCAGCACAGAGCCCAACGCGAGGGTCGAACTCACGGACAGCGAGATCATGATCTGAGCTGAAGTCAGATGCTTAACCGACTGAGCCACCCAGGCGCCCCACCATGTGTTTAAAAACTACTCTTCCCTATTGAATTGTCTGTGTAATCTTTATTGTGAATATTGAGAATTAAAGTGCTTTATATCTTTGTAAACACTTATCAAGGATAGTTTAAACATTCCTTCTTATTGTGAAATTTGGGGCACCTGGGTAGTGCAGTGGGTTGAAAGATTTTTTTTCCAACATCATTTCTTCCTTCCTCCAAGACATCTTTATCCTTTCCATCACAATCACTTTCCTTATGTCGGTAAGTTTGCCTTCACCACGTTCCTCTGGCTGCATAGCTAGAGTTTCTTGACCTGCACAAGTGGAAGCATTCCCCTTGTCATTTTTTTTCTATATCACCATTTAAGTTTGATCTGAATTTTACTTAAAGCATTATTACTTTCCCTTTTTCTGCTGTACATTGTCTTTGTTAGCCATTTGCCTCTTCCAGCTATTCATTTTTGTAAAATATCACATGAGTTTTCACTGGGAGATAAGGAGGCAACACAACTATATACTTTGGTGTCTGTGCATGAATTAACAGATGTGCAGTGACCAATCACTGATAGACTTTGAAAGAAGTGATATGATTGGTCATTCATCATGATGTGCAGCTGTTATTTACATCGTAATTTGTGGACTAAAGTGCTAGCAGCAACATTTGTACTTTATGCAATTACTCGTAGTCAATATGTTTTGGTGACTGAAATTTAAACTATGTTGTTGGAACTCTGGTGTTAATGAGTAGCTAAACCATTAGATGTGTGCCTTTTGGAACTGTGCAAAATCAGGATTGCCTATATTTAAATTGCTTAATTAAGTTGCCATTTATTCCATGGTAATCTACAATTTCCTTGGTATTCATTATATTACTAAAAGGTCTTGTATGTAGCTTTTTCTTTCCTGATCTGTGTTTATTCTCATCTGCCTAACCCTCACAGGATCTTTCAGGCTATGTGATACAGTTTTACTTAATAGGTTGATTCAACCCAATGTGTCTACAATATAAGGAGTAAAATATCCAGAGTAATAATAATTCACATAGGACTTGGACTTTGCTGTGGGCAACACTCTTTTAATTATGTTTTTCTTTCATTTCATTGGTAGTGCTCTTCAAATTACATTCTCCTTTTATTGTGTCATATAGGGATACAAGGAGGGAGCTAAGGGAAGGCATCATTCTCCTTAATTTATAAGTAAGAAAACTGAGGTTGTATTCAGAATTACATATATTGTAACTAAGAAAGCTAGAATTTAAACTCAGACCAGACACTTTTTTACTCTCTTTTGCTGCTTCCCACTGGGACATTGTCATTACCGATTAAAATTGTAGGAAGATATTTTATTAAAATTGATTGGGAGTTTCCCAGATATTGGGGCTTTGGAAAACATGAGTCTTGATTTAAATTCCAAAGAAAAGTGTTTAGTAAAAATTAATAATAGAAATCTCGGGGCGCCTGGGTGGCGCAGTCGGTTAAGCGTCCGACTTCAGCCAGGTCACGATCTCGCGCTCCGTGAGTTCGAGCCCCGCGTCAGGCTCTGGGCTGATGGCTCGGAGCCTGGAGCCTGTTTCCGATTCTGTGTCTCCCTCTCTCTCTGCCCCTCCCCCGTTCATGCTCTGTCTCTCTCTGTCCCAAAAATAAATAAAAAATGTTGAAAAAAAAATAAAAAAAAATTAATAATAGAAATCTCAAAACTCTAATTCTATAATATTTTAATTCTAAACATTTAAAAATTCTGATTCAAATTTTAGTTTAAGTTATATATTAGAGGAAAACATGTACCTCAAAATTTGCTAAAAGAAGGTATATTAACTAAGGTTCTTAAATATATAGTAGGTATCCTTAGTTTTTTATCCTTGCTTCCTTAGGAACTGTCATTGATTTCTACTGCTTTGCTTCTAATTTCTCTAGAAGTACCTAACCATATCATGTAAGAGGCCAAAATAGGACTTACAGATTTTTTGAATAGTAATCTTGATTTTTTTTAATACATGCTTTCTTCTTCTTCAGGTAGCAAATTATGGAGTTGGAGGACAATATGAACCCCATTTTGATTTTGCACGGGTAAGTTTAAAAAAAAAAAAAAGAATGTAGGAGTTCTAACTGAAGCTTAGGCATGACATGTTAAGTCTGTTCTTTTAGTAGTAAAAATTCATAGCCTGTTTGCAATTTGTGGAAGCATGGTGGAATAGACATTCTATAAAACCTTTTTAGCAGTAACAAAACAAAACCCCTAGATGTTAAAAAAAAAAATTAGGATACTTTTAAATGCATTGCTGAGACTGGAAGAAAGTAAAGGAAATTCCCAATTCCCAAAATGAACAAAGAAAACCTAGAAACTAAAATTAGAGTTAAAGGGGGGCTGGGCCAAAAAAGCTGAAGCTGAAAGCATTTGTCTCCAGGAATCTAGAGCTTTGAGGATTGATGGCTGTGTGAGAGGACCTGCCACTGTGCAGGCTACTGAACTTGAGACCGATGCATAAAACCTGAATCTCCAAAAGGATTATACCCTCAGAGAAAGAAAGAATAGCCTTGAAAAGAATCTGCTTGGAGTCAGGAGCCTTAAGGAGAGTTGCCTCTCATCATCCAGGTGGGCATGGAATGTGTATGAGAGCCTCTTCTGGGAGTTTGAAAGCCTAGGCCTGCTCTCACATGAACCTTTTATTTTGAATTTCACTACCCTGAAAGAGGAGAAATTAAAGTTGTTCATTTAGGTAGTGCTTCTTGGTACCTGGCAGAAACAAACTCATGTCCTCCCTGAGGACAGGCATCTTTATTCTAGTACCTTAAGAGTTTTAAAGATTAAGGTCAGCCAAATACAAACTCATTAAAAAAAAAAAACAACTGGTAATAAGACACCATTGGTGAGACTAAAGTGACCAACAGATTTAGAAGCCCCAGGATGTTAGGTACTTGAATAATCAGAGAATATAAAATAACTGTATAGTAGTTTTAAAAATAAAAGTATAAAAATTAATAAACTCAAAATGATTTAACATATTTGAAAAAAAAATAGAAGCTCTAGGTAGAAAAAAGTAATTGTTGAAAATTTAAAGTTTGATGGATAAATTAAAACAGATTAGGGACGGGCGCCTGGGTGGCTCAGTTGATTGAGCATCCGACTTCGGCTCAGGTCATGAATTCATGGGTCCTGGGTTCAAGCCCCACATTGGGCTCTGTGCTGATAGTGCAGAGCCTGCTTGGGATCCTGTCTCTCCTCTCTCTCTCTCTCTCTGTGCCTCTCCCCCACTCATGCTTTCTCTCTCAAATAAATAAACTTAAAAAAACAGAGACAGTTGAAGTGCATTAGTGAATGAATTGGTAAATCTGAAGAAATTATAAGAATACATTAAGAGACAAGATAAAAAATACAAAACAGATGTAGAGAGATACTGGAGAATATATAATAGAAAGCAGTTTGCTAAAAAGCTGTCCTTTACCAAGTACTACTCTTGCTTAAGATTAATAAATATTAACCTTACTTTTTTCACATTAAGCTATAAATTATACATTATACAAGTATACAAGTCCTCATTAAGCTTTATCATAAATACATGAATTCTAAGAACTGTCTTGGGCATTTTAATAAACTTCTTGATCTACTGTCATTTTAAAATAAGAGTACATTTTTTTGAAGGAAAACAGCCTATATTGTGTCATGGCCCTTGACTAGCTTAAATCCCAGAATTGTACTCTTTTTCTATGTAGGCCAGCAAGGAATATATTTTTAGTCTTTCCCTTCTTTTTTCAATTATTGAAAAATGTCTGAGAGTCTTGAATGATGTGAAAGAGTACAGTTCAAGCTCTGACATTAGTGCAACTAAATTTTTTTCTTAGTTTTTTATTTTGAAATAATTACAGATTCCTAGGAAGTTGCAAGGAAATGTACAGGGAAGTCCTATGAACCCTTCCCTCAGCCTCCCCCAATGTTAACATCTTGGATTACTGTAGTTGACTATCAAAACCAAGAAATAAGCATTGGCACAAGACATAGAGCTATTTCATATTTCACCAGTTCTATTTGCACTAATTGTGTGTGTATCTATGCAGTTTTATTACATGTGTAACTTTGTGAAAGTACCACACAATCAGGATGCATAACTGCACCATGACTGCAAGACTCCCTTACAGTCCTGCTCTTATAGCTGCACATACCCTTCTGCTTCCCATCCCTTAACTGCTGGTAGCTGCTAATCTGTTCTTCTCTGTAATTATCATTTCAGAAATGTTATATAGATGTTATATGCAGTATGTATCTCTTTTCACTCAGCAGCATAATTCCTCTGAGGTTAGTGGAGTTCTTAAAGAATGTGTCAGTAGTGTGTTCTTTTTTATTGCTCAGTAGGAGTTCACAGTATAGACACACCACAGTTGGTTAATTGTTCATTCTTTGAAGGACAGTAAGGTAGTTTCCAGTTTGGGGCTATTACCAATAAAGATGTGTATAAATTTCTGTGTGAAAAATACATTTTCATTTTTCTGGGATAACTGCCAAGACACTGTATTGTATTTTAATTTAGATTTAAATACCTAGATGTGAATTGTCCAGCCAGATTAAAGTGCCGACTGTCCAAAAGAATGACAAGCATAGTAGCAGTAAACATTTGAATGGACCATGAGTTCAATTTAAATCTCAAGGTAAATTCTTTACCTGCAGAGAATAGAGTTCATGAATGTAGCTAAGAGGCTCTTTCCCCCCTGCCCCTTTGGAAGCTAAAACTATAGGCATTAATTAATAATCTGTGGATAGTAGATACTGATTTTCGTTATTTAGGCTAATTAATATAGGTCCCCCCTACCCCCAGTGGTCTTATCAAAAGTATTCACTGTACAGGGGCGCCTGGGTGGCGCAGTCGGTTAAGCGTCCGACTTCAGCCAGGTCACGATCTCGCGGTCCGTGAGTTCGAGCTCCGCGTCAGGCTCTGGGCTGATGGCTCGGAGCCTGGAGCCTGTTTCCGATTCTGTGTCTCCCTCTCACTCTGCCCCTCCCCCGTTCATGCTCTGTCTCTCTCTGTCCCAAAAATAAATAAAAAACGTTGAAAAAAAAATTAAAAAAAAAAAAAAAGTATTCACTGTACAATCTGAATCAACAACCAACAAGTATTTGAGTGCTTGCTGTATATCATGCACTAGACATTATAAATGAACCTTTTGGGTTTTTTTGGCATACCCTTAAGCATATTACTGGTATTTAGTGCCACTGGATAATTTGCATTCCTGAATTTTATACCATTGAATTTGTTGTGTTTTATTCACAGAAAGATGAACCAGATGCTTTCAAAGAGCTGGGGACAGGAAATAGAATTGCTACCTGGCTGTTTTATGTAAGTTATAGCTAAAAAAAAATTTTTTTTTGCTAAAATTTTTAAGTTGGGATTTTATCACATGATGTTTATTTTGATGTTCAGATGTCTGTTTTCCTTAGCTCTAATTTAACATCCTAATTTAAAGTTTTTACAACTCAGTAAGTGGAGGGTTTTTGCATTTGTAACTTTTTCAGATAGTAATTTTAACTTTTTTATTCAGGTTTTAATATTACTAACAGTCTCAGGGCACCTGGGTGGCTCAGTCTGTTGAGCATCTGACTCAGGTCATGATTTCACGCTTTGTGAGTTTGAGCCCCATATTGGGCTCTGCGCTGACAGTGCAGAGCCTGCTTGGGATTCTCTCTCCCTCTCCCCCATTTGTGCTCTTCTCTCTCTAATTAAATAAATAAACTTAAAAATATAAAAAAATTAATATTACTAACAGTCTATTTGGAGACAATCATTGTGGATATTTTGGTGTATGGACTGTTCAGATGTGTATATAGGCATCTCTGTATATATTCACACACATTTAATAAACTTTCCTTTTGAATTTTTTATTGATACATATAAGAAAAGTATACAAATCCTAAGTACTATAACCTGATAAGTTTTCACAAAGTGAATACATCTGGTGTAAGCAGCTAAATCTAGAGAGCACATTATAGCATCCTGGAAGCCCCATTAAGGGTAACCATTTTCACATTGTTTAGTAAAATTTCAAAACAGTATGATCATTATTTTTAAAATTGTTTATATACCGGGGCACCTGATGGCTCAGTTGGTTAAGAGTCTGACTCTTGCTTTCTGCTCAGGTCATGAGCTCACAGTTGGTGAGTTTAAGTCCCTCATTGTGAGTTCCCTGCTTGGGAATCTCTGCCTGCCCCCCTGCTCGTGCACCTGCACGCTCTCTCTTTCCCAAAAGAAATAAACTTTAAAATTGTTCATATACTTAAACATATTAAAAAAATTAAACTTTGGTCATAATACTTGCCCCAGTTATCTTTTGTTGCATAACAAATCACCCCAAAACTGAATAGATTAAAATAACTATTTTTATGTCGCATGGTTGTAAGGTGGGCTTCACTCCTGGTTCTTGCTGTGGATCATTCATACATCTGTAATCAGTTGATGACTGGCACTGGGGTCATCTTGAAGGTGGAGGCTGGCTTTGGCCAGAGTACCTGCATGTGGTCTGGGCTTCTTCCCAGCATGGTGACTAGATTGCAAGAGCAAGTATCTCTGCAAAAAGCAAGGCTGAAATGCATGGCATTTTTATTACCTACCTTCAGAAGGCTTTTATTAATCAAGGCAATTACAAAGATCTGCCAAGTTTCAAGGGGAGGAGACATGGACCCTACCACTCAATAAGAATGTCAGTGTCATGTAAACAGAACATGTAGGACAGGGAATACTGGGAAATAGTATATTTGGAAAATATAACCTTCTACAATGTTGTAACCTTTGTTAACTTCAAAAGATGAATTTTAAGTCTAGACATAAATTTTGCTTATTTCATTGTTTTGTCCACCCCTAACCCATTTGAGTGATAGGAAAATGGCATCTCTTTTTGCTGTTTATCTCACTCCCTACCAAAATTTGTGTATCTCTGCTCAGTCTCATTTTCCTGCTTCATTGCTTCCTGCTACCTTCCCTATTTGTCTTTTACTTTATTTCTTCCATTCTTCTCTCTCTCCTTCCCTCTTTGCAATCCACCTTTTCACCTTCCTACCTCATCACCCTCCTTCCCTCTTACAACCTTATCTGTTTCTAAAAAGATTTAAGATACCATAAAAAAAGGATTTAAGCACTGTAATAAAAAGGATTTAGGATTAAAAAAGAATTTGAGACATATAATGTTAAAGATGAGAGAGAATTATTACAAAGGGAAAACCAGGAGAGACGATGATACATTATACAAAATTCATGCTGTGAAATCTTGTATACTTTTTAGAAGTGAATTCTCCATAATTGTACCAATTTATAGCCTACCTTTAAGTGTGATATGTTTGTTAACCTTTTGGTCTGCACATCTTTCACTTATTATATTGGCAGTTATTGTGGTTTTAGTTTGTATTATTAGAGAGGTTGGTCATCTCTTCTGATGTTTGAGACATTAACCATTTTTTTTTGCTTTTATGAATATCGATGCTATACATTATTTGGTCCAATATCCATAAATATTAGATTATTTGACCATTAGATTATATGTTTGATTATTATATTCTATCTTAACTATATAGCATTTTGATTAGATCAGTAATTTTGCCCCCCACCCCCTGCCATTGTTTAAGTATTGTCCTACATGGTCCATTTAGCCCAACTTTTTCATTTCTTCAGTTAGCTCTTTGCTCCAGTGGATGTGTTCATCATAGTACAATATCCTTCTTTATCTCAGTGCTTTTATTTTTATTTAAACTGTGTTCGATATTAAGATCAAACTCTATTTTCTTTGGTATAGCATTTGCCTGGCAATCTTTTTGTTTCAAGGCTTCTTGTTTTAGATGTGACTCTTGGATATAGCACAGTTGGGCTTTGCTTTGTGATACAGTCTTTGTATATACGTTCTACTTACATTGCTTTTGAAAAAATCTTCACTGCATGATAGGTTTCCTGTCTCATTTTCCCTTAATTTGGAAGATTTGTGTTTTACATTTAAAAATTCCAAATTTTAATTCTGGTATAATTAACATACAGTGTGATATTAATTTCAGCTCTACAATTTAGTGATTCAACACTTACATACAACACCTGGTGCTTATCACAAGTGCACTCCCAAATCCCCATTACCTGTTTACCAGAGTGGAAGGGGGATGGATGGGTAAATCATCAGTTTGTTCTCTACAGTTAGAAGTCTGTTTCATGGTTTGTCTCTTTTGTTCCTTTGTTTCGTTTCTTAAATTCCACATATGAGTGAAATCATACAGTATTTGTTTTTCTCTGGCAGACTTATTTTGCTTAACATAATATTCTCTAGATCCATCCATGTTGTTGCAAATGGCAAGCTTTCATTTTGTATGGCTGAATAATATTCCATTGTATATATAGACCACATCTTCCGTATCCTTTCATCAGTGGACACTTGAGCTGTTTCCATAATTTGGCTGTTGTAAATAATGCTGCGATAAACATAAGGGTGCCTACATCCTTTTGAATTAGTGTTTTCATTTTCTTTGGGTAAATACCCAGTAGGAGCACCTGCTATAAATACTGTAGACATTAAAGCTGAGCAATGAACAAAATAGATGAAAATTCCTGCCCCCATGGAGATTATATTCTAGTGCAATAAATACATAGTTATACCCTTGTATTACTTGATTTGATTTTAAATCCTCTTTTTTTTTTTTTTTTTTTTTTACCTCTGGCTATAAAAGAAGTAGCTATAAAAGACATCCCTATCTCCCTTCCTGACTTTATCATTTCTTTTACTTTTATTTTTTTTAAATATAAGTATATAAACCTAGAATAGAACAGCATCTTTTTTTGTTTAAAAACTGAGTAGCATGGGGGCACCTGGGTGGCTCAGTTGGTTGAGCGTCCAACTCTTGGTTTTGACTCAGGCTATGACCTCACAGTTTCGTGGGTTTGAACCCTGTATTGGGCTGAGCACTGACAGTGTGGATGGAGCCTGCTTGGGATTCTGTTTCTCTGCCGCTCCCTCACTCGCATTGTCTCAAATAAGTAATAAATAAATATAAAAAACCTGAATAGCCTGCACAAACTATGTAAATAGAAGTCCAGATGTTCTCATATTCTCTGCAGTATCATGCCTTCCTCACAATGGCATATTTAACCTTATTATACCAGTGCTTCTGATAATACTGTCTGCAATTCTTATAGATGAGTGATGTGTCAGCAGGAGGAGCCACTGTTTTTCCTGAAGTAGGAGCTAGTGTTTGGCCCAAAAAGGTAAACTTGGTTCATTTGTTATTTTAATTTTGTGTGTCTTTTTTTTTTCCCTGAGGAAGAGATGCACCTTTGTTTCACGGTCTAATTAATGAATAACATTTTTAAAGATAGAGATAATGTAGTCCTTAAGGTCCTTAAGTATACTAGGTAAAATTTTAAATATCTTTATGGTACACTTTACAATGATTACCTAGAAATAATGAACCAAGGATTAGTACTCAAAAGTTTGCATTCCTAAAATGGGTTCCATATGATGGAACCTCCATCTTACTACTGTAAGATTTGTTAGCTTTGTTTTGGCAAATCCCCTTTGTCAGGCAGCTTTGTGGTATTGACATTTTCATGTGATCACCAAAATTTTGTAAATGGTTTAGTCATATTTTCAGAATTTTATTAGGGAAGACATAATGCTGCCATGGAGGAGTACTTCCACAGGAACAGAGGAAAATTTAATTACTACAAAAAGTGATAACCTATATCATATTTGGAGATAATTTTGTATTATTCTCCACAGGGAACTGCTGTTTTCTGGTATAATCTGTTTGCCAGTGGAGAAGGAGATTACAGTACACGGCATGCGGCCTGTCCAGTGCTAGTTGGAAACAAATGGGGTAAATATTTCCTATATTCTCTTTTGACTTTTGTCTCATATTTTGAAATTAGGGTAGTCTATATCTTAAAAAGAAAACAAAACTCCTAACATTGAAAGGGATTCAACCAACCAAGTTTCTGATTTTAATATAAATTTACTTTCAATAGATCAGAATTCTGATGACAGATTTTAACAGTAGTCCCGCTTCTTCACTCAAAGTTGAAGAAGACAGTATCTTTCCCTCAAGGAGTGTACAGTTGTCTGAGACACACTAATGGATAAATCAGAATATAGTGTAGTACACACTAATACGGAGATGTATACAGAAGATGAGGACTCCTTATAGTTGGGAGGCTTCTTCAAAGCTTAATTTTATAATTTGCTCTTGAAGAGAGAGCCGTATGTTTTCCAGGCATGTTAGGGACCAGGGCCAGGACTAGTGTGAGGCTAGAGAGGCACTCAGGGTCAGGGTCATGCTAGTTTTTAATGTGGCCAGTCATAAAGAAATAGAAGCAGGTGAATTTATTTTTCTACATATTATTTAACCCCATAAATCCTTTTCAATATGTGTCACTAGCCACCTTTCAGGTACTTAGTAGCCACATGTGTCTAGTGGCTACTGTCTCAGACATAGCAGGACTAAGGAGTGACACGTGATTGTTAGGATTTTAAAAATCTTCTTTGATGATTATGTTTGAGAATCACTGGACTAGAATGAGGCTAGTGGAGGAGAGATCAGTTTAGAAGGCTCTTTTACATTGCCTAAGTGGGTGATGATGAAAACCTGGACTATGGTAGAAGCAAAAGGATTGGAGAGTAAAGAGACAGAAGAGATATATAAGGAAAAGTGGCAGGCTTTGATGAATGATAGATGGGATATAGGAGTTGAGAAAGATAAGAGTAATTATGGGTCCTAGTTTACTTTGTACATGTTGAAGCCATCGATTGGGTTCTATGATAAAGAAGGAGTAGAAAATTCTGTTTGAGTTACATTAAAAAGCAGTATCTTGGAATCAAGGAAATTTAATGAGCACATAATAGTAGTGATTGATTGTAGAATTGTTCCTGTACATTGGAGGCTTTGTGTTCGTCTCTAAAATGTCCCTGTATTAGTGATAGTATTTTTGCAAACAGTTAAAACAATGTTCTGTCTCTACCTACATCTTCATTCCAATTGCATTTCATTTCAAGATTTACATTAAACATCAGAAACTTTAGGAAATGCACATACATAGACTCTCATGTGCTTCCAACATTTAGCGAAGTTTTGTGGGTTTTTTTTTTGTTTTTTTTTGTTTTTTTTTAAATAGAGTGCCTAGGTACCATCTGCTTCCATCTTATTTTGGTCTTGAACTTTTAGCTCATGTAGAAACTTTGTTATAGGCCTAGTTCTTACAAGTGAATTAAATTTTAGATAGTGGAGAATATTAATGTATTTTTTTCTCTCACAGTATCTAATAAATGGCTCCATGAACGTGGACAAGAATTTCGAAGACCATGCACCTTATCAGAATTGGAATGACAAATAGGCTTCCCTTCCTCTCCTGCTATACTCTAATGTGTCTGACATGCACATTTCCCAGTCTTAACTTTCAAGAGTTTACAATTGACTAACACTCCATGATTGGTTTCAGTCATGAACCTCATCCCATGTTTCATCTGTGGACAATCACTAACTTTGTGGGGTTTTTTTCCTTTTAAAAGTAACACTAAATCACCATATTGTACATATAAACCTTTAAAGTTCAGTTGGTATCACAGAGGATAAAGCAAGGTAGAGTTAAAAAATAAGGAATTTTTACATTTATATCTTAAAGAACTTCTTGGTTGGATAAAAAAAAAACACTTTATGCATCTGATTATAGTATTTCACTACATCTCAGTTGGTAGGGGGTAGGCTAGAATGGGCCATGTGATTATAAGCCTTATAGTTTGGACCTAGGTATTACATTTACCTAGTCTTATTTTCTGGATCTGCCTAAAGACTAGGAGTAAACTAGACCTCTAATCTGGGTTCCATTTGATGTTTACCCCTCCATACGCTATTCTAAGTTGATTTTTTTCCTCTCAAATCTTTTTAAAGAAAGTATACTGTATTTTACCAATCCCATTCTTCTCTCACAGCTCCTCTGTGGTGAATCAAATCTGCTTGAGTTAAAATAATTTGATTAAAAAGGTTTTTTATTGCAAAGCCCTATATAACAACAGTGGGCCTTCTTAACTAAAATGATCATTAGTCTGTTTATTTCTCCCTTAAATGACTAATGGTTTTGTCCATAAAATTTGCTGTTTTTTGTAATGCTAATACCTTGCCTCTTATCCCTGCTATAGCAGGGTGGTGATATTGGCGTTCTGATAAAATAAATATCGTGCCTTAGGAGACTGGAAATTTTAAAATGTACAAGTCCTTTTAATGATGAGGGAATTGATAAAAAAAAAAAAGAAGAATCTTTTTTCTAAAAAAGCCAAAATGTCTGTTTTTTTTCACTTCTGAAATGTGACGACAATGACCTATTTATGATCTTAAATCTTTTTTTAAAAATGTTTCTGTTTTCTGTGTGGTATTTTTCTTATTTGAATGTGAATGCATACTCTAGTGCCAACAGGTGATTTCTATGGATGTGTGTGTGTGTTTTTTGTTTTGTTTTGTTTTTAATACAGAGGACTTAGATCTATCCTTTTGGTTTTCATTCACTTTCATGTCACACTGTTATGGTAGAACTCTGAACTTTCAGCCATTCAATCAATCAGAATATGTTTCCTTCAAAAGAAGCTCTACAACTTGTGGTTATAAGGTTACTATAATAATGGTACTTAAGACTTTCTCTTATCCAAAAGTGTGGTATAATATAAAGCCATGAACCCAAAGAAGTATATCAGTTGACCCTTAAAACTAACCTTTTACATTTCTTATGGTGAGTCTTAATTCATACAAGGGCTCTTTATCCTTTATGCACTATTTAAATATTTAAGGAAGAGTTTGGTTGTTTGGGTAAGAAGGTATTAAATCAACTGTGAAATTCCTTTCTCCCAAATACTTTGTTTCACCACAGCTATTTTAGTAAGAAATATTGGAAATGACCTTTAGTACTTTAATTTAGATTTTTTTATACATGATTTTAAAAAATCCTGTTAGAAGCAATTTAATGCAAAAGGATAGAAATTAAATGGGAGTTCAATGAATGGAAACTAACCTTTCTTATGTGTTTTAGCAAATAGAATAAAAGTAATATATATTTCGGAAGCAATGACATACTCTTACAAATTTCCTCATTATATTCAACCTAGACTCTCTATGGGGACCAGTAAACTCTTTTCAGCATTAGATCTTACAGAACCCTCCCACATTTCCAATGTTACCATTTTTCTTTCCAAATGGAAAGGAGGAAAAAAATCCAGTAAAAAGCTTTGAGTCCAGTGGTCATTGCAATTTTTTTTCTTACGGTGAACATTAAATGAGGGCTACATACCAACCCTGGATGCCCTGGGACACAGAAAAAAAAAGGCATGGTTTACAAAAGCAACTAAAGGGGCACTTGAGTGGCTTAGGTCCCAATCTCGCAGTTCATGAGATTGAACCCCATGTTGGACTCTGCACTGACAGCACAGAGCCTGCTTGGGATTCTCTCTCTCTGCCCTTCCCCTGCTTCCACACATGCTCTTCCTCTAAGTAATTATTTAAAAGAGCAACTAGAATATAAAGGACCCTGCCAAGGGTAGGAGAGCTGCTGGAACGGTCTCTGGATTAGAGGGACTGGTAAGTGCCATGGTTTATGTTCTCCCTCTACTTTGATAGCATGGACGGGAGTGGGGTCTGGGCACCCTAGCAGGCCTACTACCTTAGTGAGACCTAGGCCTCTAGCCCACACCAGCCCCAGATATCCTGCCAAGACAGCCCCAGGTGGAGCCAAGATTGGGCACACACAAAGAAACCCCTAGTGAGTGCTCACTATAGCTCCAGCCATCTTAGCAAGGTGACACAGGCCCAGAGAACCCCGGAATACTCCAAATCTGCCCACTTTGGCTCCAGATGACTTGCTAGGGCACCCATGGCACAGCACTCCAGGACCCCCTGGCCCATGCCCACCTTGGTCCCAACACTTCAAGGTACCCTTATGTGGAATGCCCTGGAACCCCCAGGCCCACACCCTGCCTCAGCAACAACTGCCTCTCTAGGGTACCCCCTGCACTGAGCACCTCAGGGCACCCCAGCCTGAACCCACCTCAGTTTCAGCTGTCCTGCCAGGGTGTCCTCTGCACCAAGAGCCCCAGGACCATGCCAGCCCATGCCCACTTCAGCTACAGCTCACCTGCCAGGGCACGCCCTCTGTGGAGTGCCCCCAGGACCCCCAGCCCACACCCAACCTTGGCTCTAGCTACCCCACCAGGGTGCTCTCTGCACAGAGCACAACAGATTCCCCAACTTGTGCCCCATCAATGTACCCTTTGCCCAGAGACCTCAGGCACCACCCCAGACTACGCCCATTTCAGCTCTGGCCATCCAATAAGGACAAACCTAGCACCCCCAGCTTATGCCAGCCATTGCTTCAGCCAGAAAACCGAAGTCACCAGGTACACATAGTCTACATGGGATGACCATACACAAGACCATTCCTTTGAGTTTAGGAGAAGTAGCTATTCCACCTAATTCATAGAAATATACACAGTAAGTTGAGCAAAATAGACTGAGAAATGTGTTTCAAATAAAAGAACAAGACAAAACTTCAGAGAACTAAATGAAATGGAGATAAGCAATATGCCTGATAAACAGTTTAATGATCATAAAGATGCTCACTACACTGGAGAGAACAGAAGAGCTCTGTGTGAACTTGAACAAAGAAAAATATAAAAAGAACCAATCAGTTGAATACAATAACTGAAAAAAATACACTAAAAAGAATCAACAGATTAGCAGATGCAGAAAAATGGATCAGTGATCTCTTTTTTATTTTTTATGTCTTATTTTTGAGAGAGACAGCATAGCGTGATCAGGGAAGGGGCAGAGAGATGGAGACAGAAATCTGAGGCAGGCACCAGGCTCTGAGCTATCAGCAAAGAGCCCAACATGGGGCTCAAACTCACAAACTGTGAGATTATGACCTGAGCCAAAGTCAGACGCCCAACCGACTGAGCCACCCAGGTGCCCCTGGATCAGTGATCTTAAAGGGTAATGGAAAGCAACCAAGTTGGAGAGCAAAAGAAAGATAAAAATGTTGAGGTTTGAGAGAGCAAAGCGGGAGAGGAACAGAGAGAAATTCCAAGCAGGCTCCACGCTGTCAGCACAGAGCCTGATGTGGGGCTTGAACTCTCAAATTGTGAGATCATGACCTGAGCCGAAATCAAGATTTGGACACTTAACTGACTGAGCCATCCAGGCACCCCAAGAGAAAACAGTTTTTAAAAATGAGGATAGGTTAAGGGATCTCTTGGACAACATCAAGCAAATACATTATAGGGATCCCAGCAGGAGAAAAGAGAGAATAAGGTGCAGAAAACTTCCCTAACCTGAGGAAGGAAACACATCTAGGTTCAGGAAGCAGAGTTCAGCAGAAACTTTGTAGGCTAGAAGGGAGTGCTGAAAGGAAAAAAACCTGCAACCAAGACTAGACTATCATTCAGAATTGGAGAAAAGTTTCCTAGACAAAATTTGGGGTTTATCACTACTGGGGTGCTCTGGGTAACTCTTGGTTTTGGATCAGGTCATGATCTCATGGTTCATGGGATTAAACACAGAGTCTGCTTAGGATTCTCTCCCTCTCTCTCTGCCCCTCTCCAACTTGCACTCACGCTCTCCCAAAAATAAATAAATTTGGGGGGCGTCTGAGTGGCTCAGTTGGTTAAGCATCTGACTTGGGCTCAGGTCATGATCTCACTGCTTGTGAGTTCGAGCCCCATATTGGGCTCTATGCTGACAGCTCAGAGTCTGGAGCCTGCTTCGGATTCCATCTCCCTGTCTGCCTTCCCCCACTCACGCTGTCTCTCTCTCTCTCTCTCTCTCAAAAAAAAACATTAAAAAATGTCACAAATTTTTAAAAAAAGTTTATCACTGCTAAACTGGCCTTAGAAGAAATGTTGAAGGGACTTCTTTACATGTGAAAGAAAAGGTCATAATTAGAAGAAGCTTCTGAATAAAAAGATGTAAACTATGACAACACACACAGAAAACATGGGAAGAATAAATAAGTTCTTTTAGGGGGCACATGGGTGGCCCAGTCAGTTAAGTGTCCAACTTCTAGTTTCAGCTCAGATCACGATCTCACAGTTCAGAGATCTCCACATTGGGCTCCATGCTGACAGAGTGAGGCTTGCTTGGGATTTGCTCTCTTCCTCTCTGCCCCTCCCCTCACAAGTAAACAAACAAGCAATAAATAGAGTTCTTTTAGAATGTATTCAAACTTAGCCATCAACTCAATACATACACACATATGCTTATGATGTTATATATGAACCTCATGGTAACCACAAACCCCAAATCTGTGACAGATACACAAAAAATACAGAGAAAGCAAGCCAAAAATAACACTGAAGAAAGGCATCAATCACAAAGAGAAGAAAGGAACAACAAGAACTATAAAACCAACCCGGAAACAGTTCACAAAATGGCAATAAGAACATACTTATCAAAAATCACTTTAAATGTAAATGGTCTAATCAAAACATATAGAGTGGTGGAATGGATAAAAACAAAAACAAAAACAAAAAAACCCCAAGATCTGTATGCTGCCTGCAAGAGCCACGCTTAAGACTAAAGACACAGACTAAAAGTGAAAGGATAGAAAAAGGTACTGCATGCAAATAGAAGGGGGAAAAAAAGCCAGGGTAGCAATACTTTTATCAGACAAAATAGACTTTAAAACAAAGACTATAACAAAAGACAAGACCATTAATAATGATAAAGAGAATCTAACAAGAGAATATAACAATTGTAAATATCTATGCACCCAATATTGGAGCACCCAAGTACATACAGCAAATATTAATAGACATAAAGGGAAAAATTGACAGTAATAAGATAATAGTAGGGGACTTTAACACCCCATTTATATCAATGGATAGATCATCCAGGCAGAAAAACAATAAGGAAACAAGTGTCATCAAATGACACATTAGGCCAAATGGAGTTTACCCATATATACAGAACATTCCATCCAAAAACAACAGAATCCACATTCTTTTCAAGTGCACATGTAGTATTTTCCAGGATAGACCACATGTTGGGTCACAAATCTCAATAAATTTAAGAAGAATGAAATATGCATCTTTTCAGACCACAATGGTATTAAACTAGAAATCAATTATAAGAAAAATCTAGAAAACACAGGTACATGAAGGTTAAATAACATGCTACTCAACAATGAATGATCAACCAACAAATCAAACAGGAAATAAAAAAAATACATGGAGACAAATGAAAATGAAAGTAAAGTGGTCCAAATTCTTTGAGACACAGTGAAAACATTTCTACGAAGGAAATGTATAGCAATGCAGGCATACCTCAAGAAACAAAAATCTCAACTATGCAATCTAACCTTACACCTAAAGGGGCTAGAAAAAGAACAAAGCTCAAAGTTAGTAGAAGGAAGGAAATAATAAAGATCAGAGTGGAAAAATGAGATAGAGACTAAAAAAAATGGAAAAGATCAAAGAAATCAAGAGCTGGTTCTTTGAAACAAACAAAATCGATTAAACTTTAGCCAGACTCAAGAAAAAAAAAGAGAGATGATACAAATAAAATCAGAAATGAAAGAGGAGAAGTAACAACCAATGCCACTGGGGGAAAAATGATTTTGAGACTACTACAAAAAATATGCCAACAATTTGGACAACGTCAAAGAAATGGATAAATTTAGAGGTGCCTGGGTGGCTCAGTCAGTTAAGCATCTGACTTTGGCTCAGGTCATATTCTCACAGTTCATGGTTCAAGTCCCACATTGCGCTCTATGCTGACAGCTCAGAGCCTGGAGCCTGCTTCCGATTCTGTGTCTCCCTGGCCCACCCCTGCTCTCTGGCCCACCCCTGCTCGTGCTCTGTCTCTCAAAAATAAACATTAAAAAAAATTTTTTTAAGTGGATAAATTTCTAGAAACATAACTTTCCTAAAATGAAGTAGGAAGAAGAAACTCTGAACAGACCAATTACAAGTAAGAACATTGAATTAGTAATAAAAAAAAGCTCTCAACAACCAAAAGTCCAGGACCACATGGGTTGGCAAGTGAATTCTACCACAAATTAATGAAGAGTTGAC